CCCCCCCCCGCTCGTCGACCTTTCCTGGGACCTAAGGAAGCATCGTGGAAAGTTTGGTGATCGTAGTTATTACAGGGACTGAATGCACAGCGAACAGACGAGCATTCTTATTTATATATATAGATAGATTAGGTAGCTACTCCAGAATTTGTCTTTTGCTTATGAATGGCCTGTGTCTCTTATCTCGTTCTTTATTTGTGATATCATGTTGATTCTTTTTTCATACTAAAGTTGATATACAGGGTGTGGGTGTGGCTGAGGGTGTGGGTGGGGGTATTGGTGCGGGTGTAGGTGAGAGTGCTTCACGTTTAGTCTAACTCACACCCAAAGACCATAAAATATTGTATTAGTAAATGGGAGAGTGGGACTTTTGGCCAGGAGTGTAGATAAGGTATAAGACGGAAAAAATTCTTGTTTGCGATAATAATATTCTCTCTTATCTAAAAAGCAAGTTGGAAAAAGAGCTTTTTTTTCTTTTGTATCCATCATGCTTTGTGATATATTTGAGATGATTTAGAGAGTAAAGTCCAAGTATAAATGATAAGGAACGAAATATATATAGCAAAACGACATAAAGTATTTTTATATATAGAGTTAATCATCATAAAATAAAAAGGGAACTCATCTAAGTACTAAGCTTTATTTATTCACTCAACAAAACAAGCAAATCGACATTGAACCAATTATCTCAACATATGAATACAAAATTTCATGAACCAAATGCCGCTTTGTCTAAAACCATTGTTACAACTAAAGCAACACCGTCGGACGGAATATGTTCGAGACAGCGTATGTCTGGAGATTTCTTGGTTATCTGGATCGATGCTGGTATTGATCGCTCAAAAGAAGATTGTCAAAATATCTTACAACAACTGCGAAATGTTGTTAGTGACGTGAATATATTTACTGAACGAGATGAATGTATCGACTTCCTAACTGAAGTTGACGACACCAAAACTTTTCTCATTGTAGAGAATACTATAGGTAAACAAATAGTACCCATGATTCATGACATTTCTCAGCTATGTGCCATTTACGTCTACTGCGGCAACAAGACCAGACACGAACAATGGGCCAAACTATGGCCCAAAGTCAACGGTGTCTATACAGAAATAACTTTCATTTGTGAATCTCTGCAACAGACTATGAAACGCTGCAACCAGGATTCTATCGCCATGAGCTTAGTCAGGATCAGTGAAGGTACTTCTATTCAAAATCTGGATCAACTGGAACCTGCATTTATGTACACTCAACTACTCAAAGAAATCTTACTTGGCATGCAGTATGACCAACGATCCGTCAAAGACTTTGTAGCTTATTGCCGAAATGGTGACTACGGAGCACCGAGTAATATTACACGGTTCGACACAGAATACCAGGCAAAGCTAGCTATCTGGTGGTATACTTTTCCATCATTCATCTATTCTATGCTAAACTGTTCGCTTCGTAGGCTAGAGTCCGAAACCGTTCTAAAAATGGCCTTCTTTATTTCTGATCTGCACCATCAAATCGAAAAATTACATCAGCAACAGATCAGCGGTTCTCATAGGAAGCCATTTGTTGTGTATAGGGGTCAAGGTCTATCGAAAACGGACTTTCAAAAACTCCTGAAAACAAAAGGTGGGCTTATCTCCTTTAATAATTTTTTATCAACCAGTGAGAATCAAGAGATTTCTCTCGGTTATGCTAATATTGCTTTGACACAAACTGATACGGTCGGCATCCTCTTTAAAATGTTCATTGATCCATCTGTGTCATCCATTCCATTCGCTTTTATACAGAAGGTTAGCTATTATAAGACAGAAGAAGAAGTTCTCTTTTCAATGCACAGTGTTTTTCGAATCGGTGAAATTAAACAAATGGATAATTTCAGTCTTCTTTACCAAGTGGAACTGAAACTGACTGCTGATGGCGACGAAGAACTGCAAGCCTTAACGACATGTATACGAGACGAAACTAAAGGCGTAATTCCATGGCATCAGCTGGGTAATTTGTTGTTCAAAATAGGACAATATGATAGAGCAGGAGAAATATATAAAATGCTGCTTAATGAGACGTCCGACGAGCGTGTGAAATCAATCTATTACAACTATCTTGGGCTCGTCAAGGCGCATCAAGGCTATTATGAGAGGGCCACCTGGTATTTTGAGCTATCACTTCAGATTAATCAAAAGCATCTTCCTCCAAATGATCCTGCATTTTCAGTTTCCTACAACAACATCGGCATGGCGCATCAAAGTAAAGGAGAGCACTCGAAAGCCCTTTCGTTCTACAAAAAAGCTCTAGATATTCTACCAACCAATTTTTTAAAAGAGCATCCATCAATATGTACTCTCTATAATAATATAGGCGAGGCATACCGTCAACTAGGCAAATACCGGGAAGCTCTTCCCTTTTTTGAAAAAGATCTTGAAATTCTTAAAAATATTCTTCCATCCAATCATCCGAATTTCGCTTCGTCTTACAACAATATCGGGTTGATCTATCAAAGCATAGGAGAGTACTCAAAAGCACTCTCATTCCTCCAAAAAGCACTCAAAATTCAAGAGAAAACTCTTCCTTCAGATCATTGTGACCTAGCTACTTGTTACAGCAGCATTGCTGAGCTGTGCCGGAACGTGGGTGAGTACTCCAAAGCGCTCTCGTTCCATGAAAAAGATCTTAAAATTCTACAAAAAAGTCTTCCTCCACACCATCCGGATTTGGCCAAATGTTACAACCAAATAGGGACAATATATAGCAGCATGAGTGAGTATACAAAAGCGCTTTCATTTTTCGAAAAAGCACTTGAAACCTATCAAAAAAATCATCCTCCAAATTATCATATGTTGGGTTGCATCTACAATAATATTGCGGTGGTCCATCAAGATACAAAAAATTACTCAAGTGCAGTCTCGTTTTTGGAAAAAGCCCTCAAAAGTAAACAAAAGACTCTTCCTTCGGATCATCCTTCGTTGTCTCTTTCTTACAACAATATCGGTGTTACCTATTTACGCAAAGGAGAATATCTGAGAGCACTCTCGCCCTTGGAAAAAGGACTTGAAATTCAACTAAAAGTTCTTCCTTC